CTACAATTTTCTACATGCATATCATACAGCCATGTTTGTAAACTCTTAAACTGAGAATGTTAATTTGTACTGTGACAAAAAATTCATTACAATTAAATAAAAAGTTGTAAGATGTAAAAGTGGCGCAAAGTTTCATTAGATTTCAATAAGCTTGTAGGTGGTTTGGATATGACTTATGTTTATTTTAAAAGTTCATGTCTTTGCATATCACACAGTATTTGAAAAAAATTGAAGTTTAAGTATTTTGTTTGCTGTAATGGAAAGTTTTAGGTTGCTTGAGTAGGTTGCACAAATTAGACAGCCTTATAAACTATATCTTTTTACATCTATATCAGCTGAATTCATCTTCATTATTACTGTATTGTTTTACATCATTGTTTTGTGTGAGTTTGATTTTCAAAGGAATTGCAGCAATGAATGAAAGGAGCAGATGTGGGATGTCACAAATATATCCATCATGGTAAATTGTGACCCTGGCTACTGATGCAGTGAGGGACATCCACTGGTTGTCTTCCCAATTGATATTTTTAGATGGCACTACATGCAAGTAGGTCCCTTGTCCCTAACACTTTTTTTGTTGTACTGTAAGCATTTGACATTTGAATAACAAAAGTATTCATTCATGCCTGAAATGGCTTTTTTCATGCCAAACTGTTCACAGATAAGTGGGCCTTTGCTGAAAATTAATGATGATGTAATGCATGGATACATGTCATAAGGCATGGTAGAATAGGATTTAAAAAGAGATCACCACCAAGCAAAATTTACTAAGACTTCAAAGCTGTGACCTATTATGGAAGATTTATTTATTTTTGCTTTAATGATAAAAGTTTGTATCATGGTATTTGCATTCTGTTATCATGAACTTGAAGTATAATAATAATAATTATAATAATAATAATAATAATAATAATAATAATAATAATAATAATAATAACAATAATATCAAAAACAAATTTTACAAAAATACCTGAAATATTTGTGATAATAATATTAATACATGTATTATTACTGAAAGGATAATAGAATCACCAGAACAACACCAATAATGATAATAATAAATTGTACTTACTGTAAATTTCAATATCAACATGATAAATGTTGTTTATGGAGTGCTTGATTATTGTTTCAGAAGGTAAAAAACAATACAAGAATGCAGTTACAAATCACCCATGTCATTACCTATAATTTAAATTGATTTTTGGTTTGTATGATATATGTATACATAAAACCTACTACAGAAAAATCATCTTTTGCATACAAAAGGGCACTGAAATTCCATGATACAAACCACACATGAAATTGCATGCAATGATGATTGTCTGGAAAACGTAACACTAACTCTATACTAGGTATTATACTGACATAGTTTGAACAAATTTAAATACTACATTCACACTGACTGATCAGTTTGACCATTCTTTTTAATGACAATATTGATAATATTGAGAACTTGCTTTCACTGATGCATGATAAGCAGTTTTCAAAAAATTGCAAATTGATTTAGTAAAGTGGAATAGCAAGGGACATACTTGACTAAAGCGCTGCCTTTCAATATCAAGGGGAAGTAACTGACCAATGTCTCCCATTACTGTATCAAAGCATGTCCTGATTCAGGCTGTTGATGCAGTTGTGACATATACATGATGGTGATGAGTCACCCAGGCTATTGATACAAATGTGACATTGTAACTGTATCCATCATGGTGACTCATGACCCATAGCTGTTAATGCAATTGCAACACCATAATTGTATTCATTATGGCAACTCTTATTTTAGGCTGTAGACATTATTGTTTGAAATTAACCTGCCACATCTGTAAAATGGTGCAGTGGATTTAAATAAAATTAGATTTTGAAAGTGCCTCACTCTTACAAGTTATAGACAGGCTTTTTTCTCCTTGTCATTTTTACATTGTAATTTTTTTTTTTTACCTTCATGATGACTATATAGAGCTTGATTTCACACTTTTTTGTAACTGACAAATCACAACACGTATGTTTCATAAGCATACTGCCACTTCCAATGCTGTACTTATAGAAGTAGACATTAGAACAAGACAGGGTCTTAATCTTTCCTATATTGTGTTGTGCATATACTCCACTTCAGAGATACATGGCAAGGAGTGTTGCCAACCATCAGCAAAAGTAGGTCACATTGACATATTTTTAAGTGACTTTTTAATCATGTATTTGTGATGGAAAAAGTTATTAAATCAGAGTTTCCACCAAGAGCCAATCTTAAAATGTTTAGACAGTTAAAGTTGCTTGTTAGTAGTTGGCACAAAATCTGAAAATTGTATGATCTGGAGCTGAAAATTTGTATGAAATCTTCAACATTAGTCCTGGTGTAACCAGCTAGTTTTAAAATTTGTTTAATAGAGTTATCCTGTTGTAGTATACTAATAATCAGCATGCAATGTTTCAGCAGTGCTTAATCAAGGCTGCTACATTTCATGAAAGCAAAACCTTCTCAGCAATGTCATCTGGAAAGCCAGCGTATTTTGTAATGGCAAGTCTGAGCCTATGCCATTTTATAGTTGGGCCTAATATGGTGTGCACAAGCACGTGTTGTGATTTGATATGCAATGATTTTGCTAAAAGTGTAAAGAAACTGGAAACCACTTGGTGAGCTACTAACATGGGTTTGTCAGAATTATAATTTAGAATAAAGAGAAACTCATGTTCACCTTAACTCATACTGGAAGCTAACAATGATCTTTAGCCTTGTCATTGTGTTGTAGTACATTTTTCTTTTGTCATATTCTTACATTTCATTGACACATAAACAGACCCTGAAAGAGATAATATTTGCAATTTTGTTTGCAATAATTCTGCTTTCATAATTTGCATTATAACCATCATATTTTTATTTAGTTCCAATAATTCATTCAGATGTGCCATTTTTCACTCACCATTTCTGTTCTTTCTTATTGATTTGAATTCATGTATGATTTTAGTTGGTTTAAATTTAAAAAAGCATGGATTTCAAAAAAGCATTAAATTTATGATGTAAAAATAATCACAAATGCAAAATATTGCAGTTTTTTTTCAACAAATTTTTTATTATTCAAATTAATATTGTACAGAATATCAATGTAACAACATTATCAAAGCAAAGAAAAATATGCAATTTATGTAAATTACTGGAGTAAAACTTGTCTTTTTGAATTTAAAGTATTTGTGCAGCCCAGGTTACCTCTTGTCTTCTGAAACAGCAATGTCCATATCAGAGACCATATCTGAATTTGAATGTGGTAATCAATTTTCAATAGAAAGTTTATTAAAAAGTAGGAATATTACTGCCATTTGGCAAAAATATGGAGTCTGATGAAAAACTATTTTATTGTAAAGTGTTTAATCCTGGATTGTTGTGCAAAAGGACTTTTGTCCACAGAATGGTAGTGACAGCCCAAAATACAATAAATTTCACATCCATTAAATTCTTTCTGCATTCCACACTAATAATTTCTTAAACTGAATTCAGTTTTGTTTTCTTTCATTTTGCATTCTATTTTTTTTTCCTTAGTAAAATTAGGTAGTTCAAGGTCTGTAGCATTGTGGAAGTTATTTTTAAAATGTCCTTTTTACCCATGTGAAGTTACATTTATTTATATATACATATGTATATGGATGACATGTTTGTGTTAAGAAAAAAACTTTAGACATGTTAAAGTAATAAGGTGAACATAGCATCCTTAATGTGTTTTTTTATAGCTTTGTTTGTTAATGATGAAAACTGTCAATAAAGTGTGATACTTTTGTATATTGTACTTTGTTATTGCTTTTCTGCTATTGTTTCATTATCACTGCAATATTATTTTGATAATGTCTGGAATCTGCCATGACAAAACAGCTGCATTTTCATATGCCCACCATGAGACATAGTGCATTATAATTTCAATCCATCCATTATGAATTTTGTTTCTGACCATCATACTTAAGTAGTCAACCATCTATAGTTACCAAACTTTGTGGATGACATACTCTTAAGTAAAAGCACTTTTTTTTTCAAGGTTAAGGTCATTGATTTTTAGAGCAAAATCATTTATGCACATTAACTGGATTTGTGGATAACTTAGGTTAAGTAAAACCTTATCGATTTTGGGTCAAAGGTCAGGATCATTGAAAATTATTTTCTTTTGCAAATAATAGCATTGTAAGCTACATGACATTTAGATATACAAAATACTGTTTTACATATCAAATTGTCAAAAATTGGGAATTCCTTATTTCATCTTAATCTAAATTTCTACATTTTTTGTTTTGAAAAAAAATTTATCAAGGAAACCTGAATGGTGAATAACTAACACCCCTGTCATCACCAGCTATCTAGAAACTTGCAAAATTTATCTCTCAAAGCTTATCAAAATAATGCTGTCAGAAGGAACGCACCAAGCTGCTGCTGCCTGGAAATGAACATAGTTTGTCTGTTTTGCAGATTCGGACACAACATTACAGCGTTAAAAGGTCTATGAATATTAATAAGTGTCCTTGTATACCTCACATGCTTCTGGATTTATTCTAGGTTGCAAGAATTGTCCTAATTTCTGAAGAAAAAAAAAATCACACTAAAAGAAAATGCTCATATTTTCAACCCCAACCTTTATTTCTTCATTAAATTCTTCCTATATTCAGGGCTTATGGAATGGCCTGTTGTCCACTATCCAACATCAATCTGTGTCTTCATTTGCACAAGTTTACTGCTACTCCTAAACTACCTGGAGGATCCCACATGGTCACATAAAGATGGTATTTACTCTAAAAAGAGTGTGTGATTATGATTTTTAACATAGTTTTAATTTTAGTCATATCACTACGATGTCTGCAGTGTGGCAGTTTAAAATGAGGCACTGGGGCATCATGCCGCAGACATATAACATTGTCCCATCCAGTCACTGGTCACATTATCGTAACACCAGGCTGACCAGTCAAAAAACCTCTTAATGCTAAGTGCCAAGTGAGGTAGCTGCTTATACCATTTTTATAATTCATTAATGTGTCTTGGCTGGGGTTCGAACCGGAAACCTCCTACATCCAAGGAAGACACTCTAACCACTTGGGCCACCAGAGCATTTCATGTCTAGTTGGTCTTAATGACAATGGTGCAAATTTGATGTCCAAGAGTCATACTGACACGACTTTTGCAGTTGGCCCCAAATGAAAATGGAGCTGCTCGAACATCCAGTACGATTGCTATGGCAACCATCATAAAAATCTTGTCACTATTCCACAAGAATGGAACCTCAAATCATCTTGGGGTTTTCAGTAAAGGACTTTCTATCAGGTTAGTTGGTCCTAAATAAAAATGGTACCAATCTGATATTTACTAAAGCGCTTTCTTAAAAATATTGTTTTTGCTTCTCTTCCTGAATGGAATTAAGCATGGGGTTTTCATCAAAAGACATGATGTCAAGCTGGTTCTAACTGAAAATGGTGGTACGTGGACAACCAACGGGGTCACCTCAGTGGCCATCTTGAAAATCTTACGGCTACATCTGAATGGATTGCCATGTCAACGTGGGATTTTCACTAAAAGACTTGTGATGTCTACTTGGTCCTAAATGAAAACTGTTCCTATCCTGCCTGTGTTACATCTTACTGCAACATCTGAATGGGTTGCCATGTAAACATGGGATTTTCACAAAAAGACTTGTGATGTCTACTTGGTCCTAAATGAAAACTGTTCCTATCCTGTGTTACATCTTATTGCTACATCTGAATGGATTGCCATGTAAACATGGGATTTTCACTAAAAGACTTGTGATGTCTACTTGGTCCTAAATGAAAACTGTGCCTATCCTGTGTTGTACCTGTTTTGGCAAATTTGCGCACTGTTTCCTTTTGAAGTTTGAAAAATGAGGGCAAATCAGGTATAAGGGCACAAAAAAGTAAAAGTGAAAGCAGAACAAGAATAAGTGCTACATTATATACCTTTTTTCACGTGTTAAAATACAGAGAAAAGTTTACAGCATCTGCCTCAGATGCAGGAAATCGCAGGTTTGAACCCCAGCTGAGTCATACCAAAGACATAAAAATGGTACTAGTAGCTGCCTCGCTTGGTGCTCAGCTAGTGTTAGGACTGGTCGGCCTTGTGTCAGGATAATGTTACTGGGTAGGACATCATGCTATGTGTCTGGTGCACAATTCCCTTTGTGCAAGACATCACTATAAATTGTCACACTGCAGACATCATAATATGACTGAAAAACTGTTAAGTTTTGAAACATCACTGAACATTTTAACTTTGCACTTCAAAGAAAGCACAACTGAAATGAGGAATCTCATAGAGCATATCCTATACAGACTTGTTTCTTGAAATTACAGTAGAGAATCTTGAGTTTACATACTGCTGCACATCATGTTAATAAACCAGTGTGACCATTATACACTGATCATTCAAGTCATGTACCTTCTGTATGAAGCTGGTCCTATAATGTAAGATGACAACTATGATGTGTACGAGAGTCGATGTCTCAACGATGTAACAATCGGTGCTGCATAGCTCTGTTCCAACCATGCTGATGCACATCAAATGTTTAAAATATCTCACATAACAGCTCTAATTGACAAGGTTCCTGTGTCCAGTCTTGATAGATGAGCAATGCTACAAGACCACTGATAATAGCTGTGGTCCTGTTTCCCCATGTTCTGTACAGTAGCATTTTTTAAAGTTCAAATATGCCGGAAAATTAAACAAAGGATGTGCACCAAAGCAATTATCAGTTGACAGTTGATAAAAAGAAAATTTTTCTTATAGTAATCTGATATGAAGTTGTATATTATCTAACCTTTATATGTTGAAATTTACAAGTATAAAACATGGAGATTTGTTGATAGGTTGAACTCTCATGATAAAATCCAGATATTATGAGTCAAATACTGGGATTGGAAAGTATTTAACTGATGCTTACAAGTGTATTGATACCAAAGAGAATAACTTTCCTGTGTCCATAATGTATAATGGATTTTAAGAAATCATACAGAATGACTCCAAAACCAATTATCTCCAATTTGTTCTAGAACAGTCCCAAGGATAAATATAAAATTAGCTACCTTAAAAATTAACTGCACGTTTCACATATTCTGCTTTCTGGAAAAGAATTTCAAGGAATTCAAAATATTACCAATTATTTCTAACTGCTGAGTGTTGAAACCCTCTCTAATATTCTTGTGTGACAATTTTAAAATTAGCCACTGTGATAGCCACACTGGATTAAAGATTGTCACCCTTTCATTTTAACATACTACACAGCTTTAGAAGAATTGCAGTGAAAACCTCATCTTGATATGACCATCCCTTCAGAACAATTGGCGATAAGGTTTTCAATATGTTCTTTGTGGCTACCATATTACAGATCAGAGGGTATCATTTTTATTCTGGGCCTACTAGGTACTATAATCAGTCATCTGGTGAAAACTCATGTTCACACGACTTATCAAAAAGGAGTAGTAACAATTTAAAGAGTTTCAAGATGGCTCCATGATGTCAGAAGAGCCAGATATTAGAATTCTTCTAGTGAAAAACCAGAATTGATAAGACTTTCCATCTAGAAGTAGCAATAAGATTTTCAAGACAGTAACTATGGCAACCATTCAAATCAACACAATTGATAGTTAAGACCAACTATACAATATAAGAAAATGTCTGCTTTGGTTGTCATATTTTATGTCTAAGTTGTACCAGTTTTATTTAGAACCATGGGATTAATGTGTGTATAAAGTTTTATGGCATTTTTCAAGATAACTTAGGAGTAGCAATAATGAACCTGTGCCAACAGATGGATTGGCATTGGAAAATTGTAAAGAGACCGTCCATTACGCTTTTTTGGTCGATAACTAAGAGATTAAGCAGCAGTCTTCAAGTTTTCTTTTGATGGAACATTGTGAAGATGATGCATCATGCCATAGCTGATATCCAGCTGTTAAATATAGCACTTATAGCTATGATCAAGTGGCTTGAAGAAAATCAGGGACATCAATGAACAGTTTTTCCATCTGGTTTTCCCACAGCAACCTATCATTATATATATCTAAAACATAACCCTTTGCTAGTGTACAGAATTGTTTTTAATCCTGGATTATTGTTTTCATCAGGATCCCTTGACCAAATATGATATACAGGTATATGAACATGTTGGATGTCTGTCATTAGTGAAGGCATTATGTAATGATCCTCCAACTTTCAAATCTTTAAAAACACAAGATGAAGGAACCTCTTTAAAGTTTTTCTTTTCAGTTAAATGTTCCTGAAAAAGATTACAAGAGTGTGAAACACTGGAATCCTTCCAAATGGTCCTGGTACCCTCAGTCTTTAATGAAAGATGGCTTGTTTTTACTGCTCTTCTTTAACCAAACTAAAGTGGTATTTTAACATTACACTTGTCCACTCACCAGTGTTTATACTGTTCTATGATATGCAATTTAAATGATGGTGACAAAGAATGTGAGCAAACTGCCCAAAACTTAACACACTCTGTTTATGTTCTCATCCTGCACCAGACTTAATTAAAAGAGATCAGCAATGCCTTCTTCAAAGAATCGTTTATAAATAGCCATGAATTTTGCTACAAAAGCCTCTAGGTGGTAGATAGCCTTCTGACCCAGTTGCAGCCGATGCTCAAAGAATGCTGCATTCTGCACAACTTCCGTCTTCAGCTGGCCATCACAGTTTGTAATCAGCTCCTGTAGCAAACCCTGGCCAAAAGACAAAATCTTCAAAGTTTATGTAGATGTTTATGAAGTCTCCTTATAAAGGTGAGCGGGAACCACATAGTTTTCTATAACGATGATCTTACTTTCACACTGTCTGGGTATGTTTCACATGATTTATAAATTATTTTTTATTATTATTATCATTATTTTTACTTTCTACAGACTTGAGTATTACCTTGACCAAGAAAGGAACTAGCCAGGTAATACAGGTAATATGCATAGCTGTCAACCCTCCAGGCTCGTAATTAGTGAAAATAGTTATATAAATTCGTGAATTTTGACACAAAGTCATGAAACGATCTTAGGAGTCAGGGAATATTTGTTGGAACAAATGTTTAGCATGGGATTCAGCTGATAAAGGTAGATTGTGTTCAACAAGAAAACTTGGAGTGTTTCTGCATTGGTAGCTTGCAGGTCTTCAGTCTATGGCTTAAAATATTTCATGACTGAAATCTGGTGGAGTTCTTAATTTTCCCAACATCTGCGCGATCTTTGCTATCAATGTGCTTCCTCACATCATTCCTGCCACCAAGTCAAAGTTTCCTCTGACCCTTGCCACCCCATTTTTAATATTTGGACATTTATGTTAAGGTGTAGGGTCAGAATCCATTACCTATTAAAAATTTAGTATTTGCCAACTCCAGATGGTGTCGGCATGGGGATAGCTGCTTACTAACCTGCCTAGCGAACTTGACTGACCTTTCATCGAGATATACCTGCATGAAATCGATAGGAATATGATTTATTTTCTCAGAAATTGCAAGCATAGCATTTGTTATATCTTTAATTAAAAGTACATTGTTGCTGAAATTTGACCTGGATCTGGCCATTTGCATTTCTAGTCACAAGACTATACAAATCTTGCAAACTACATGTTAGTGTTTGATGGCTGAATGCACGACAAATTTTGGGTATATTCCAAACTTAATGTTTTGTGCAATACATTTCTTGTTCCTTGTTGGTGAAGACATAATCAATATCGAATCCAAATCAGTGTTGGTAGCGCATGTGTGGACCAAATTCCAGTTAGGCTCTGGTTTTTCTCCAAAGCATTTGTAAAGCTACTCTTATACATATAGATTAAATTACGCTAAAATGCTTACTGCCTGACCGACTTTATCAATTGGCTATAGTTCTACTACTATCGTGACCAGCAATACCGGACCGTTTTGGCAACTGCTGATATGAAGACTAGCACCAACCAGGAAATCAGTTTTTTTTTATTAAAGATTTAAAATAATTGAAAATTGGGAAATTCATGATTTTTTTGGCATGAATTGCTGAAAAAATAGTGAAATTCATGCCAAAATCATGAGGGTTGGCAGCTAAGAATATGTATATAATAAATACAGAAAACCA